AAAGAAGAAATAGAATCATTGTAAGTTGCCTACTTTTTTTTCCCTTGAAAAAATGTAGTTTTTCTGTAGGTCAGGTCAACTTGRACTACATTTTCCTTGAAGCTTTCTAGTACCTATAAACAGACTTTTTAAAGAAAATATGTTTTAAATATGGGCTTCAAAGTTGCAAAGACAATGGTTCCAAAACTGAGCAAAAAATAAAGTACCTGCCTTCAGAAATAGGATTCTTCAAGCACTTCTTACAGAACAATTTAACATTACAATTACAATTTAACAATCCTCTATCGTTTCTTGCTATGTCAAGGTATCCCAAACTGCATCAACTTGATATCACCATCACCCTTGGACTGTCACAGTAAGACTCTTTCTCAAGCTATTCTTGAGCTGGAGGGCATCCTCCATCTTCCATCTTCCTGATGTCTTTGAACAGATGGTTTAGATGGATCAAGAGGTTTAGTGCTAAGGGAAGAGGACTGAACCTTGAGTCTCAAGCGTAAACATGAGGCCAAGGAGATATGGAGTGAGAGAAAGCTAAAAGAGACTGACACCCAGAACATCTAGAAAAAGGGATAATAATCATAATGAGGAAGTGAGTTGTAAAGCTTGGTCATCCATATCACCAGGATTATGAAGCAGTTAAGGAAGGCCATATGTTTGGATCCCTCCTCACTTCCTCTGGTCCATTGCTTGCTTTTTGCTCTGCCGTTCTGTACTTTCAATGTCTACTCTGAAAAGGCAAGATAAATGTACTTTCGGAAAATACAATAAAGCACTTCATCTCGAAGTTGCAAAGTTGCAATTTGCTCATTCTCAGGATCTAGACTGTAATTTAGCCATTATTATAGGATTATAATATGAGGCACATAAAAAAAAAAGAAGAGCAATTGGGTATACTGGCATAAATATGGAAAAAGAGTCTGAGCTTAACAGTTGACCAAATTCACTTTCCAACAGGTTTGTCTCATGACAAAGTATTTTTTAAACTCAATTATAAAAGACTGCAGTAGAAGGTCACCCTTCTTGATAATCAGAGAGATATTATCAATGTCCTATTTTAGAAACAGCTGTGATCAGAGTTTGCTTCTTATTAATTATCTATTAATTAATTATCAGAGAAACAACAGGAAAAGATGGAAGAGAAAAAGGTCACACATAAAAAAAACCAGAATCTTACTAGACAGGATTCTTTGGTGTCTAATTTGAGCTCATCTTACAATACTATTACATATCTTTCTTCTCTATTCCAATGCAAAGACCTCAAAACCTTTAGGAAAACTCAGTCAAATTTACAAGGAAACTTTTGGGGCAAAGAGTCAGGTGAATTAACAAAATTCATTTGTATTAGACCAAACACAGTGACACTGCAAGCGTCCCTTGCCTTCCTAGAAAACAACCTAAAAAAATAGAAAGGATACATACCAAAATCGAAGCACAATGACCTCACTTTTATGTATTTTTTCTTCCCTTGTCATTTGTATGTATTTTATTTATACAGGGGATAAAATCTTCTGGACAGAGATTAAACAAAGAAACTAAGCAAAGAGAAAAAATGTGTTGACTGCTGCCTCCATCAGTACTGAAGACCTTTATTTGTGTAGGCCATGGCTACCTGGGTGTTCCTGCAATATTAATGGTTAATATTAGGTTTGTAATATACCTGCAGCTAACCTTGTGGCTGATCTTGTACTTTATAGCTGCATAAAATTCCCATTAGTCAGGAAATATTTATTTCAAATAAGCAATACAGGATTGTATCATCTATCTATTATTAATGATTTTCTTGTGACAAAGGAATTGTGAACTAAACAAGCTCTATTATTGCAAAGAAAATACAGTCCCATATGGTTTCAAGAAGGCTAGATTTTATTTTTTAGTTGACATTTTGCTCAAGATAATTGGAATATAACATAGGAAAAGTATTTGTTAATTTTGGGAGGAGTAAGTCTGTGTCTGTTTTATTTACTATTGACAGGCACACTTCTGCTGAAATCAAGGTAAAATCCTCATCATCACCTGTCACACTAGAATTAAAAGTAATTAAAACTAAATTAACTAACTAATTAAACTAAGACTAATTAAAAGCAAAAGAGCGTCACTATATTATTCTGCCTTTCATATATACATACGTAACTAAATGTAATGTTGTTAACTCAAACAATCCAATATATCAACACATGCATAATACAAAAATACCTACAGAGAGGTAGATAAAGCTTTGAATATTCACACAGCATTAGCACTTGTAGGCTATGTACCTTGAGACAGTAGATGACATTTGATGTATAATTAATGGCTTCCACTTTTAATTCTATGCTTATCAGTATGCTACTGCATCAGACTAAATCCATTCATTTCCAGCTTCTTGTTTTGGCTAGATAAATGCTGGACTCTTTGAAGGGGGCTGCCCTTTTGCTTATTTATGCTTGCTTGTAGCTTTACAGGGGCTTAGTTTCCTTGTTTGCCGTTTGCTCTCAAGTATCACACTCAGGAGGCAAAATATCATAGAATCATAGAACCATACAATCATTATGAATGGAGAAGAACTTCAAGATCATTGAGTCCAACCGTAAGCCCTTCAATGCTATGCCTGTTAAACCATATCCCTAAACGCCTCATCTAACATGTTCCCTGAACACTGCCAGGAATGGTGACTCCACCACTTCCTGGGCAGCCTGTTCCAATGCTTCACCACTCTTTCTGGGTAGAAATTTTTCCTAATAACCAACCTGAACCATTCCTGGTTCAACTCGAGGCCATTTCATCTTGTCCTATCGGTAGTTATTCTGGAGAAGGGATCAATCCCTACCTCACTACAACCTTCTTTCAGATAGTTGTAGAGAGCAATAATGTGTCCCGAGTTTCCTCTTCTCCACACTAAATAACCCCAGCTGTCCCTCAGCTGCTCCTCATAAGGTCTGCGCTTCAGCCCTTTCACCAGCTTCAGTGCTCTTCTCTGGGCATGCTCCAGCACTTCCATGTCATTCTTGTAGTGAGGGGCACAAAACTGAACACAGTATTTGAGGTGTACAGCCTCACCAGTGTTGAGTACAGAGGGATGATCACTAGTCCTGCTGGCCACACTATTCCTGATAGAAGCCAGAAGGCCTTTGGTCTTCTTGACCACATGGATACACTGCTGGCTCAGCCCACTGTCAGTCAACATCCCCAGATCCTTTTCTGCCACACAACTCTCCAGCCACTCTGCCCCAAGCTTCTAGTGTTGCATGCCRTTGTTATGACTGAAGTGCAGGACTCGGTACTTGGCCTTTTGGAACCTCTTATGCTTGATCTCAGCCCATCGATCCAGTCTGTCCAAATCTCTCGGCAGAGCCTTCCTACCCTCAAGCAAGTCAACTCTTCCTCCCAGTGTGGTGTCACCTACAAACTTGGAGAGGGTGCACTCAATGCCCTTATCTAGATCATTGATAAAGACRTTAAAGAGGACTGGTCCCAACATTGACCCCTGCCAGCTGGATTGAACTCTATGCACCACCACTCTCTGGGCCCAGCCATCCAGCTAGTTTTTCATCCAGCAAAGAATACACCTGTCTAAACCATAAGCTGCCACAGGAGTGGTAAGGCAGTGGGAGACCATGTCAAAGGTCTTCCTGAAGTCTAAGTAGACCACGGCTATAGYCTTGCCCTCATCTACTGGGTGGGTCAGTTGGTCATAGAAGGAAAACAGGTTGGTCAGGCAAGATCTGCCTTTTATGAACCCATGTTGACTGGGCCTGATCCCCTAGTTGTTTTACACATACTGTGTGATCACCCTCAAGGTGATCTGCTCCATAACTTTCCCTGATATCAAGGTCAGGCCGACGGGTCTGAAGTCACCCAAATCTTCCAACAGACCTTAAAAAAGCCCTTAAAGAGACCTTAAGGAAGATCTAAGTTACATTCAGCTGAATACATCATGCAGTTGATATACTTCAATCTTTTGAGCACTTCCTGAAATCCTACTGAAATGTGTGTAAACTCGTACTGGGGGTCTGTTAAGGAATTAACTATATGTTTGGGAGACCTGTGTGCTGGAATTCCTTTAGAGTCGGGGGAGAGAGGCTGGCTCCGAAATGAATGTCTTAGCAAAGTATGGTTTTTCTCTGTTGGCTGCAAAAATGCTTAAGAAGACCAACCTCACTACTCTTAACAATGGTTAAGAGGTTTGTTATAGACGAGACAAGCCAATTTTCTTATCTACYRTTTATTGAGTAAGCTGGGTACAGAGAATAACAGCGCTGGGGCAGCCTGGAGACAATCCCTCTCAGGCTCCCATCTTTCSTCTCTTGGGGCTYAGTATTTAYAGTATATAGTCCTTCTAGTCCTTTCCYTCTTCCTTTCCGTGATCTTTGTGGCATGCCGATGTTATCAGCAGTCTCAGCATCCCAATGTTATCAGCAGTCTGGATGATCCTAGATTGTTTCCAATGTTCCTTGGTTGTTTCCATTGTTATCAACAATCTGGGTAATCCTCGATTTGGATGGCAGACTCAGCATCTTCGAGTTCCRTGGTCTTCCCCAGAAGTCAGTCATGCCTGTAAATCTAAGTAAGCTATTGCTGCTTATAATCGTTATTCCTAGTTTTGATTAACTTTAGGGAACAAACATTTATTACAGGTTAACCATGCAAGTATTTCACAGGAACTCCTTAAAACCCTCCTAAAATAAAGCTAACCATCCATCCATGATCTGTACTCCATCTTATTTTGTCCTGTCATCTTTCTGTTTCTGTTCTACCTTCCACTCTGAATCTGGCTGTCATTGCAGCACAGCATAATGTGCTCACATAAGCCATTGGCACATCATGATGTTTGCAGGTGATCTTCTTTTGTCTGGTGGAGATAATGAAAACATTTGCCCAGCTTTGGATGCAGCTTCACTTTGCTTTTGAAATTAAAAYGTTGATTATCCTGGCTGATGGGAGACCAAGAGTTTCAGCTTCTTAAAGTAATAAAAACAATAGCTTGCTTTCTTAAACCCTGTCTTTTATTCATCTTTCACTAGGTTGGAAAAATCCATAAGAATGCTGCCCGCAGAAGAGAATACCATGTGCTATTCATGGTGATAACTACAGTTATCTGTTACCTCATATGCTGGATTCCCTATGGAGTTATAGCACTGCTTGCAACGTTTGGTAAGCCAGGTGTGGTGACTCCAATTGCAAGCACCATACCTTCCATCCTAGCAAAAAGCAGTACTGTTTGCAATCCCATTATCTACATACTTATGAATAAGCAGGTAAGATCTACTGTTTTTAAATATATTTTCCTTTCCCGTTATGCTTTTTTACCTGAGCACAGTGACTGCCTGTGGATGTGTCTTTGGGAGAAGGGCATTGAGAAGGGCAATATCACTGAAGCCTTGGGATAGAAGTGTTTGTAGTCAACATAATATAGCACTAGATAGAAGAAAAGATATGTCTGCTAACTGAAATTATTTGTGTCCTTTTAAGGACACATTGGAGATTAATTTGTAAGCTGTGGACTTGCCAAAGGTATTGACATATATTTACAAGACAAGTACACAAACATGTTTGTCTGGAGGGAGGAAAAAAGGGGACAAGAAGAGGAAAATATTAATGACCTTGAGAACAATGTAATGAACAAGTTGCTAGTTACAATTACTTATTATTTTCTTGACAGATTCCCCTCAACACAAAAGGTCATAACAGTTATGATTTTAGGTCCTCCTGCATCCTTTCTGCAACATTTCAAACAATCACAGAATGGTTAAGATTGGAAGGGACCTCTAGAGATCATCTAGTCCAAGCCCCCCCCAGCAGGGACACCCGGAGCATGGGGCACAGGGTGGCATCCAGGTGGGTGCTGAAGACCTCCACAGAAGGAGACTCCACAACTCCTCTGGGCAGCTTGTTCCAGGGCTCTGGCACCCTCACAGGAAAGAAGTTCTTCCTCACATGCAGACAGAACTTCCTATGTTTCAATTTATACCCATTGCCCCTTTTCCTATATCACTGGCCACCACTGAGAACAGCTTGGCCTCTTCCTCCCTATATTCCCCCTTCAGGTATTTATACACATTAATCAGATCCKGTCTCAACCTTCTCCAGGCTAAACAGATCCAACTCACTCTGTCTTTCCTCATACAACAGATGATCCACTCCCTTAATCATCTTGGATGTTCTCTGCTGTACCCTCTCTAGAAGCTCCACATCCCTCTTGTCCTGGGGAGCCCAGAACTTCCCCCAATACTCCAGGTGCAGCCTCACCAGAGCTGAGGACAGGGGCAGGATCACCTCCCTTGRCCTGCTGGCAACATCCTCCTGATGCAGCCAGGATCCTACTGGCCTTCTTGGCCATGAGGGCACTGCTGGCTCATAGTTAACTTGTTGTCAACCAGGACTCCCATATCTCTCTCTGCAGAGCTTCAATCCAGCAGGTCAACCCCTAATCTGTACTGGTGTCTGGGGTTATTCTTCCCCACATGCAGGACCCTGCACTTGTCCTTGTTAAATCTCATAAGGTTTCTCTCTGCCCAACTCTCCAGCCTGTACAGGTCTCTCTGGATGGCAGCACAGCCCTCCGGAGTGTCGGCCACTTCACCCAGCTTGCTATCATCTGCAAACTCGCTCAGGGTGCACTCTATGCCCTCGTCCAAGTCATTGGTGAACAGGCTGAACAGCACTGGGCCCAGTACTGACCCCTGAAGGACACCACTGGCCACAGGCTTCCAACTAGACTCAGCCCCATTTATAACACTCTGAGCTCTCAGAGGTTGTATAAACCTATATTTCCAGTTAAGCTACTTGCCAAAACAGGAAAAGAGATTTTGGATCATGAGTGTGAAGGCCAGTAGTTCTAAAGCCCTGAAAATGCTGAAGTCCAGTTCAAGTGTCTATTTCCCATAAACGGCATTTTCAGTACAGAAATACTAATTTGTTACTATTTCTGTGCTGACACTTTTGACTAAAGACTAAAAGGAATGTATCTGTTTCTGGAGTTTCAAGGAAATATCCCAGGCAATCCAATAAACTTGGAAGAAAAGTATATTGTGGCATTCACACCAAAGGCAGGATCTCCTTTTCCAAATTCTAGGCCTAGCTTATGTAGAAAAATTTTGACCCACAGACTATTATCCATTGATGGTCCAACATGTGGGAGAAGAAGCATCAGTGTGTAGCCCAAGGACGATCAAAAAGGACTTTAGGGAATTGGGTGAGACAATCAGGAACTCAGGTGCACAGGTGGTTTTCACTTCCATTCTTTCTGGTGCTGGCACAAATATAGAAAGAAGCAGGAGGATACCATCCATCAATACGTAATTCCATGGCTGGTGTTGTCATCACAACTTCRATTTCTTCGGCAACAGGAAGCCTTCCATGGCATTAGGCAGGATAGTATCTAATGGTATCCATCTTTCTCAAAGAGAGAAGAGAGCCCTGGATCATGAGCTATCAGGGCTCATTGAGAAGGATTTACACTAGATTTGAGTCGGGAGGAGGGTGTCACTGGGGAAGCAATCTGTGAAGCCAATCACAGCAGCCTAACTCCAGAGCCTGTGAAGAGTGCCCAAAGCCTGGGGAGGCCAATGGCACAATGTGAGAACTTTTGAAGGCTCACACAGTCAAGTTGCAGCTGCCCCAGCTAGAATGAAAGGCACATTGGGAGCCCAACTAAAATGCCGTTTGCAAAAGAACACATCATGGGGAATAAACAAGGGGAATTGTAGATGCATGTGTGATTGTAGGGCCGTGATCTCATTGCAATTACTGAAACATAGTGTGACAGCTCTCGTGGCTGGAACATGGCCATGGAGGGCTTTAGGCTTTTCAGGAAGGACAGGCCATGAAGGCAAGGTGTTGGAGTTGCCCTTTACATGAAAGGGCAAATGGAATGTATAGATCTCAGCTTAGGTGCGRATGAAAGGCGAGTCAAGAGCCTGTGGGGGACGATTAAAGTGCAGGCCAACAGGAGWGACACCATTGTGGGAGTTTCCTACAGGCCTCCTGGCCAGGAAGAGGAAATGGATGAGGCCTTATGCAGGCAGCTGCAAGAAGCCTCCCGTTCCCAGGCTCTCGTCCTCCTGGGGGATTTCAGCCAGCCCCGTGGCTGCTGGGACAATCACACAGCCAGGAACAGACAGTCTAAGAGATTCCTGCAGAACATTACAGATAGCTTCTTGATGCAGGTGGTTAATGAGCCAACAATGGGAGGGGCACTGCTAGACCTGATATAACAAAAGATGGTCTACTTGGAAATGTGAGAGTTGGTAGTGGTCTTGGGTGCCATGGATGTTGTCTACTTTGACTTCAGCAAGCCTTTGGACACCATCTCCCATAATATCCTCATAGGAAAGCTCTGGAAGTGTGGACTGGACGAGCGCACAGTAAGGTGGATTGACAACTGGCTGGATGCCGGAGCTCAGAGGGTAGTGATAAATGGGGGCGAGTCYAGTTGGAGGCCTGTGGCTAGTGCTGTCCCCCAGGGATCAGTACTGGGCTCGATACTGTTCAATTTGTTCATCAGTGACTTGGACGAGGGCACAGAGTGCACCCTGAGCAAGTTTGAGGACAATACCAAGCTGGGTGGAGTGGCCGACACTCCAGAGGGCTGTGCTGCCATCCAGAGGGAGCTGGACAGGCTGGTGAGTTGGGCAGAGAGGAACCTCATGCGGTTCAATAAGGACAAGTGTAGGGTCCTGCACCTGGGGAGGAATAACCCCAGACACCAGTACAGATTAGGGGTYGACCTGCTGGAGAGCAGCTCCATGGAGAGGGACCTGGGAGTCTTGGTTGACACCAAGTTAACTATGAGCCAGCAGTGCCCTYGTGGCCAAGAAGGCCAATGGGATCCTGGCCTGCATCAGGAGGAGTGTTGCCAACAGGCCAAGGGAAGTGATTCTGCCCCTCTCCTCAGTTCTGGTGAGGCTGCACCTGGAATATTGTGTGGGGGGCTCCCCAGGACAAGAGGGATGTGGAGCTTCTAGAGAGGGTCCAGAGAAGAGCAACTAAGATGATTAAGGGAGTGGAGCATCTGTTGTATGAGGAAAGACTGAGTGAGTTGGATTTGTTTAGATGGATCTCTTCTCTTAGGATCTGTTCTCTTAGGAGAAGACTGAGAGGAGATCTGATAAATATGTATAAGTACCTGAGGGGAGAACGTAGGGAGGATGGAGCTGAACTCTTCTTGGTAGTGGCCAGTGACAGGAGAAGTTGAAACATAGGAAGTTCTGTCTGCATGTGAGGAAGAGCTTCTTTCCTGTGAGGGTGCCAGAGCCCTGGAACAGGCTGCCCAGAGGGGTTGTGGGTCTTCTTCTGTGGAGGTCTTCAGCATCTGCCTGGATGTCACTGTGTGCCACGTGCTCTGGGTGTCCCTGCTGGAGCAAGGGCTTGGACTAGATGATCTCTAGAGGTTCCTTCCAATCTTAACYATTGTGTGTATCTCTGAAAAGTTAACTCCAGCTGAAAAGTGCAAATGCTGGAGCAAAAGAGTAACTTCTCTTATGTTTTACAATTCTTACAATAACTCGTTAACAACATCCTCTATTTTAGCACKTTATGCCCCAAGAATTTTAATCAGTGAGGTCTGTAACTTCCATGACATTTTCTGACCATGTTGTCATCACTGGAAAAGTCTGTAATAGAGAAGATAAGTACATTTTGACATTGCCTTCACATGTGCAGCACAATGCAAATAGAAAGACTATGGAAGTCTGAGGAGAGATATGAATTCTAAAATAACATGAACTCAATATGGTCTTGGCTGTCTTCATATATCTCAAAAATAGAATCACAGGCAAAATTACCGGTGACAACCTGGCATCCCAAAATATGCACACAACTAAGGCTCTTTTTATAAAAAAAAATTCAAAGTTCTCCAAGAAGATATTGAGAACTGTATCTTCTGTAGTATCACAAGTTTATAAACAGTTATATTGTGGCAAATGACAAAGATTCACCCTTGGGAAAAACTTGATTAGCAAGCATAAAACCAGGATGCCTGCACRTCCCAGGAATCTAGCAATCTGTCTGAAAAACAGTCTTTCCTTGTAATATCTAGGTTTTGAGCTATAAAGGAAATACTTATGAATGCTTAATTTGTTTCTCAGTATGGAGGTGACTTTTGATCCAGTTTATTATCTTTTAGAAGAACACTGTGGGATTATCTCACCATATGAGAGTAACAGATTCAAGACACGGCAGGCAGTTTCTTAGCAGCAAGAAGTGAGAAGATTGTGCAAAAATTCAGGAGCACCATGGCAGGCAAATGGAGAAAGTT